TTTGTACCTGCATGATGCTGGGTGCTGGTGTTCATCTAGAAAGTTTGCCAGTACATGGAGTTATAGATAGGTTGATTGTCAAGTTTCTGGTTGCTTTAGGACATGGAGCAATTTGATGCTTAAGGTGACAGCACCAGCAAAGGAAAGTTTTCACTGGGGCAGGAGGCCCTGTTTTCTCAGCCTCTGTGGAGTTCTTGTCAGCTGTGTAAGAGATAGCTAAAATCTGATAGCAAGATGCCTGTTCTTGACATGATGGCAATGTCACCATCATCAGTGCTTCCTCAGAAGGAACTGTGGTGGTACAGCCTTTTGCCAGATGAGGGAAGTTGCTAGTCACAGTCTTTCTGTCAGGATATATTCAACCAGCCAGTTGCTAAGACTTTTTAAAAGTCTGCCTCACCAGTATGAAGGTTTGTTTGCCAGCTTGCATTCTTTGTGTTATGCGAAGCAAGTCTGTCATATTCAATTCTCTTATTATTCTGAAACTATGGAGCAGCAGATTGTCTTTATTTTGTAGCTCATTATAGAGGTTCGTATGATCAAACTGCAGTGTTTTCCGTGTGTGTCTGTGTGTGGGTTTCACACAATATATCCATATGTAAACTAGAACAGAGTTCAAATTACTCAGATGGCACTGAACAAAATGGTAGAGACAGGCACCAGCGAACCCGGTACATCATATATCCATGTTCTCTCTTATGATATAAATAGGAGCATCTGTAACCCAGTGTAAGGCTTCAAAATCCTGTAAGATCTCTGTGATTAATTTTTCTTCTTCATGGTAAACTGAAAGGCAGCATTCAAACTGAAATAAAGGAAGAGATTCTGTAGAGGATTTGGAGTCTAGCCCAGCAAGCCTATTTTAAACACTGTGGACCAGCAGCTCCTGCTGACTTCAAAGAAAATCGAAGATATTATTTCTCAGGATGTGCTCTAGTATAAGCAAGAGGCTTTAGCATCTTACTGCAAGTATTTTTTTAACTCCTTTTCAGGGAAGGGAAGAAGCATGTTTTCCTTAATGACTTTAATTAATTTCTCTCAAATTAAAAAATACTTGATTGTTTTGAGAGGAAGAGATTCTTCTAAACGACGTCACTTACACGTGTTTGGAAGGCCCTCGGATATTTAAATTAAGAACATTTCTAAGTTAGAAATGTTGAGCTTCGTATGAAGATGCCGGGGGAGGGAAGTCCCATTGGCTTCTGAGAGACACATTTAGTTAGAAAGGCATTTCGAGGCAGGTACTGAATTGATTTAATATGCCAGCTGTATGTGGCTTCAGCTACTTGCTGTCATTCTTCAGAGAAGGATAAGCAGCCAGATGCTTTTCAGCTGGCTCTCAAACAGAAAAGAGGTCTTGGATGCTACTCTTCAGAAGATTTCAGATGCCAATAAAAAGAATTGAGTGTAGTGACTTCATTCATTCTGATGGCAGCTGTCCCACTGTTTCATCAAGCTGAGGAATGTAAATTAACATTTCGAGATTATTCCCTGTGGAACAATCTAATAGGAACCAAGCAGAAGCGTGTAAACATAGAACTGACTTGAAAAGTAAATATCCAGAAGAACGTGGTGATTTGTCAAACTAAAAGGCTTACAGATAGCTGTCCAAAGAAAGATACTGGAAGCTAGAACCATCAGAAATAAGGGCATTAGTCTTCTTTACCCTCCATGACAAAGGTAATAAAGCCACATCGATAAAGGCAGGTAGGGAGGTTAAATTAACTTTCTTTATTGGCCATTTTCATTTCAAGAGCATATAAAACTGAAAAAGTATTAGATTGCTACTATTGACTTGAATGAGATCCTGGTTTCATTTCATTTTCTTGTCAAGTGTGCTTTATTTATTTTCCTTTCTTCTTTATTTATGTACACTTACAAAACTATATTTAAAATTATTTATGGGTTTTGGTTTAAAGTGACTAAAGTGAGACTGTACAAGATCCTTCTCAGGCTGTGTGGTGCATTCTTGCAGCTCTTAGCAAATGTAGTGTAATTTTTCTGCCTGAAAGCACACTGTCAGAGGATAACGTAGAGTGCACTAACACAGGAGAACTTAGTGTGTATTAAATAATTAAAGGGCCAAATTTTAGACACCCCTATTTGTGTCTTAGTTTGAGGACCCCTGTCATCAAGGGCTGTAATTGTGAGCTGATTCATAACAAGCTGTGAGATTTTAATTATCTAACCTTTTTAACTGCAGCTTCTCATCTGACTTCACTGGTGATGAGACTTTTGTCTGCCTGTTACGATCTTCATTAGTAGATCTTGTGTCTGTCCTTTCCTTTCATACAGGAGCAGACACTGGAGCAGGAAAGAGAAGAGGACAGTTATGAAAAGGGAGTCCTGTGTGTGAATTCACAACATTCCTGTTGCTTTCAGTAGGACTTTACGGTTTCTTTAATAATTAAAAAACCA